AAGGTAATATGAAAGACAAAAACGTGTACATCTGTCTCGGGAAGGTGTGTATATTCCCATTACTATGATACGAAATATGGCATTACGTTTGACGTGGAAGTCTGTCTCATTTCCCTTTGTCTCTCTAACGACCCGATCCTTCCTCTCCCCCCTTTTCCCCCTCCACTGTTTCTCTCTTTTGTTATTTCATATTATCAGTCCTTGTCCAACGAGACACATTAGTGGTATTGATTTCGTACAGACGCAATCAAATATTCATGACCTCTAAAGGTCATTGAGTGACAGGCAAAGTCTGTCATCTGTAGTTGGGAGTCGAGTAGCCCAGGGATTGAGGAAGGGAGGGAGGGGGTTGCAGTCGTGTGTGTGTGTGTGTGTGTGTGTGTTTGTGTGTGTGTGAATGTGTAGATAGATCGATATATAAATAAATAGAAACGAGAGTGAAAGAGAGAGAAAAGAGAGAGAGAGAAAGAGAGAGAGAGAGAGAGAAAGAGAGAGAGAGAGAGAGAAAGAGAGAGAGAGAGAGAGAGAGAGAAAGAGAGAGAGAATGCATGTATGGGAATATTTTTGATTCTGTTTGTGTTATAATATTATATTCGCGAGTTGTGTCCATGTATGAGTTTAGAGTATATGTCTGATTTCATAAACTAGCGGTCTTTTCTTTTTGTATTTGTGTTGCACGTGCACAGTGTCGCATAGCGTTACAGCTTCCCCCGACTCTCTAAAAAGGATAATATGATAAGATGTTGTACCTTTGAAATGAACCATTTTTTCATTCACTCATAAAGTACATATTATGAAGGAAGCTTTGTTGCAGTTGTGTTTGAAAAACTGGAGCCTTCATTTTCGGTTAAAGAAGGATGAAAAGCAACAACATTGTTGTGCAGATCGAACCTTTTGACTCTTTATCCGCAAAATCGTTTTCATGTGAATTACTCTTTAACCCTCGGATTTTTTCCTCAGCTACACATGGCTCAAGGACGGTGAAGTCCTGGACTTTAACAGCAAGCTCAACAAAGGCCGTGTGCACTTTGAGCCTGGAGTGGGTTCTCTAATCCTCACCAAGGCCCAGGATCAAGATTCTGGTGTTTACCAGTGTCGGGTGAGTGGGCAGCGTGTCATCTTTCACAGGGTAGGGAGTAATTGTCATCCTTTCTTGACTCCAATGAGAGTTGACGGGGTGTTGGAGGTAAGGGGCGGGTGTGTGTGTGCCGATATTGAGATAGGACATTGGTTATCTCTCTTGAGTGAGATAGGCATATTTTTGTCATCTTTTCTTGAGTGAGATAGGACATTATGTACGTGTTATCTCTCCTTAGTGAGTTAGGCATTTGTCATTTTCTTCTGAGTGAGGTAGGTCATTGGTCATCTTTCCTGAGTGAGATAGAGGTTACTTGCTATCCTGAGTGAATAGAAATAGGGCATTGGTCATTTCTCGTGCGGTAGGACATTGGTCATTTCTCTTAGGAGAAAATGAGTAGCACTATTTCACCTATATGAAAATAGACAGGGGACTCTTCTTTCCCAAATGAGAGAATAGGATAGTTTCCTGTCCTGAATGAGATTTGGACAGCAGTCTGGAAAGCAACCATCACTCTAGGGTGTGAGTGGGCACTGGCCTTTTTCTTTGAGGATAATGGTGATGCTGAATTGCGAGTGGTCATGTATCATGAGTGTTCGTAACGTAAAAGTCTAGCTTTTTTGTTGAGACTTGTTTTGCTTCTATTATATTTTTGTGTGGGCTTTTACCTCTTTCTTTGCGTTCTAATTGTCAGATTTGGGTTTATTCTAACATTGTGTCTATCTCTATCAGGTGACCAACAACTGTGGCACAGCCTTGACCCCAACGACCAGGCTGCTCCATGCCAAGATTGACCCCTTCACCCCCCAGGACAAACCCGAACTCATCAAGGTCATGATGGGATCCAGTACCGTACTGGAGTGCAACCCACCAACCAGGTACAGGCTGAACCTTGTGTCCATTAATATATCTCTAGTTTGTAGATTAGCACAATATTTTAGCATATTTTACCCTCAATAACCCTTTATTTCCAGGGTCTTTAAAAAACTGCCTTGGCTACTGCAAGAAATAATGTAGACAAATGCTGAAAGGGGATCTCTTATGACCTCTCTTTGGCCTTGTTTAAATTGAAGGCTGTACTACTTCTTTTCTTGTTCCTTTATACATCAGTTGCAAATTTAAACTTATAGTAGAAAGTTTAGAAACTAAAGCTCTTCTTTCGCTCTTGTTTTCCTGCAGTGTTCCCAAGGCTGTGATAGCCTGGATCCTCATGGACTCCACTGAGTCAATGAGCGATGTTGATGAGTTGGATTACGATGATGTTGGCTTCATCACCGTGGAACAGAACCGACGTGTCACCATGGATTATAATGGTTAGTTTGTAAAACTGATTTCTAATAATCTGCGAATTGCAGCCATTGGTTATGAAAGTGGATTATGGCTGTCTGTGGGCTCCAACTGTTAATTGTGATGATATGTTAGAAAATGCTGTTGATTATAAAATGATCAATCATTTTCTTCTGCTAATGTTTATTGTCAGGGAGTGACAATTCTGATTAAAATGTGACATTTTAATTTAGAGTGTATGAAATCCATAAATGTTCATGGTGAGCTGGTGATAGCCATAGAGTGTCATTTAAATGAGATTTGGCAGTGAGGATGTCCATTAATTAATAATATTGAGCTGTGAATGGTTTTGATATATTACTGTAGATTATATATGTGTGTGTGCACGTGCACGTGTTTGTGTGTGTGTGTGTGTGTGTGTGTGTGTGTGTGTGTGTGTGTGTGTTTGAGAATGTATGTTCTTGTTCTGTAATTGTGTACTATTTGGAATAATGGCGAGAATTTTAATGATCAAAGAGTAACAGTTGCCGCTGGTGATATCTTTTTTTAAAAGAATAAATGCCAATAACTAGCACTGGGTCAATAACGTTGATGACAAAAATTTTATGGGTTGGTTTTACAGTCACTTACTTTGAATTTTATTTTTTTGTTTTTTTAACCTGATGAAAGAACAATGAAACATTCGAAAATTCCCCTCTATGCAACCAATAGAATTTATATCACCTCACTTCTGTCTTTTTTTTTACAGGCAACTTGTACATCACAAGTGCACGCAAGGAGGATGAGCAGGGAGGCAAGTCGTATGTGTGCGCAGCGCAGAACATGAGAACCCGCTCCTCCAACAAGGGAGAGGATAAACTGATCAAAGTACAAGGAGGTAGGACAACTATTTTTATTGAGTTTGTTGGGATTGTCATTGTTGGGTGTGTGTCATTGTTTTATGATGCCATTTTCATGCTCTATTGCAGAAAGACTAAAGTCTACAACTCTACGGTTAAGAGGGATATTTTCCTGCTTACTTGTAAAGTTAGATGGACATGGGTTTGAAATGGGTTGCCCCTTGGAATTTTTTTCCATTTGAAGATAAAGTACTGATCACAATTCAATATCTTTTTGGAGATCTGCTTGCAATTTTGCCTTGAAGTGTTTATATAAAGTTAGGTGTAGATGTGGAACACTTCTAAGAGAATCGAGACAAAAGTTGATGATACAAACTTCTGTTAGTGTGAGGAAGTCAGAAGAATTGAGTGTAGATTATGTTGACATTAGAATAGTTGTGTTTATTTTTTTAATATTCTTCTGTTTACTCAAGATAGGCAATACTGGAAGTCCCATTTTTTATACATGCTACAATCCCACAGGATCACTTTCAGTGAGTTTTCAAGTCAGTAAATAGTGTCTTTAGCCCTATTGCAGATGGACAGTGAACATAGTTACTTTGTGGTAAATGACCATTATCTGTTGAAAAGGATGTTGGATGTGACCAAACTGGCATCTCTTGTGTAATGGTTGGGCAATGTGACATAACACAAAAAGATATGACTTCAATTTTTGTGTGGGTAGTCAATTGTATCTTGTGTGTCTGTCTTTTTTCTTGGGTGCTGTGTCCTTTCTAACCGGGATTGACTTAGACACACATGGTTGAAGAATCCCTCCACCTAAGAAATATGTTGACGGAGGTATTAGATATTTACAATCATTTACAAACTTGACCAAAACCTCAACTAAAGCTAAACCTTGGTCTTCATGTCAGTGACTCCGACGTCATTTGGTGTGGACCTCATGTGGCACTCTAACACCACAACAATGGTTCTTGAGGGGAAAAGAGCTCGTTTCAAGTGTATCTTCTCTGGGAAGTAAGTAATTTTGTCATATACCATCAGACTTTAAAATTGAGTCGATAGTGCCGTAAAACACCTACTCAATCATACCATCAGACTTTCTATGTTGATAATCCAGTTGTTGCTGGGAGATATTTTTCTTCATATGTATAATTCTTTTAAAAACTAAGATATTCTCTCTGACTAGAGATAAATTCATAAATGGAATAAACATGTTGTTGATAAATTACAAACATGTATCAATGTGAAAAAATAAAATCTGTTATCTGTAGAAAGGAAACTGGTGATAAGACCTCTACATTTATAGAGATTATTATTCTCTGCAATTGCCTTACTACTCCACAGTCCTGAGCCAGAGGTGTCGTGGGTACGAGTCAACGGCAACCTCCGACAGGAACGTATGCAGGCCAACCACCACGAGTTCATCATCGAAGATGTTCTTTATGAGGATGCTGGGGAGTACAAGTGTATGGGGCGCAACTCGCTCCAACGGCAGCCCATTGAACATACGTTCACTCTCAATGTAGAAGGTGAGAGTTTGATCAGCACCCAAAAAGGGATAGTTGGTGCTTCTGTAAATAAATCATCTATGGTTTGGTTTGGCGGGGAGGTATGGACTTGTTTAGATTATTCAACTCTCAGCAGGAACCGTTGACACGCAGAGCGATAAAAGTTCCTCTCAAGCAGGGGTGTTTTATTTTCTTCACTCTACTTATGTCTTCTTCCTTCACATCTCCTCTTTCTGTGATCTGGGCAGCTGAGAGTGGGGTCTGTAATAAATTTTTAAAAAGCACCTCTGAAATGCTGCCTTGTGAAGTCCACCTTCAGAATAGCATGTTTGTGTCAAGTAGAGTACCAAATTCAGATAAAAACCAATTTGTAATCTGATAAGAGCCAGTTTTCCATCGCTGCAACCTTCTGTTGGAGGATAGGAAATCTAACATACATTTAATTTGTTCCAATCAATTGAAATTAGTTACAAGTAGAAATTTGATTCAGATTTCATCATAATGAGAGATGCTTCTTAAACATGTACGACGATAGTGAATATTTCACGTACAAACTCTCCCCC